TCCTCCTCCTCCTCCTCCTCCTCCTCCTCCTCCTCCTCCTCCTCCTCTTCCTCTTCCCTTCTTACTTTAATTATAGAGTTTCCACCCCTCACCATTAAAAGAAAAACAAAACAAAAAACAAAACAAAAAAAAACCCTTTGCCTTAGAAGGAGATGCTGGAATTTTGGCAAATTCTGTTTTAAAGAAATCAATGAGAAACATGACCAAGAGCTTTTGGGTGGGCTACCTCCAGGCTTGGGTAATGCACCTCAGTGTCACCCGGTCAGAGGTAGGCCTTGTGGTTTCTCATTATCCTTCACGGGGTTCCACATGGACTAATTCTTGTCATTCCATCCATACCAAATCCTTTCCCCCCACCAGCAAGAGTAAAGGCATCCGGAGACCTGAGTCCGCAGCAGTGGCAACTCCCAGTTCCCTGAGCTGGGAGAGGCCAGGACAGAGCTGATGAATGGGAATTGCGCAGAGGGGAAAGGAGGCAGCTTGAGCTTCTCTAAGGGCAAGACCCCTCCAGACTGGCATACTCCTTTGGCCAACTCCCCTAATCTTTCCTGTGCAGCCGAGGACTCCAGCTGTGACTTGGCTGGAAAAATTCAAAAGGTCTCACTTTCTTACACAGGTAGAAACAACCAATCTGAGACAGGGACACAAGTAATCGGTTATTTCTCTCACGCCCTCCTCCCACAGAACACTTGTGAACAGATACACATCTCCCCTCTTTCCACATCCTACCAAAACCAAGATGAAAAAAAAAGCATACTAATAAAATAAAGAATCCTTCGTGTCTAGTCTTTCCGGGACGGCCAGGCAAAGTGTGAAACCCTTAGCTGCTTCTGAGTTGTGGGAAGGTTCTGGGAAGACTGGGCTGCCTCCTCTCCCACTGTGCTCCTACTTTCATGCTGTCCCCCACCTGTGGCCTCTTCCAGGCCAGCTCCTGCTCCTCTCTCAGCAGTCAGGCCTCCCTCCATGGTCCCTGGCCCAGGCGGCGGGACAGCACCGCTACCTACAACCACAGGACTCCACCACCATGTCCTCGTACTGCTTGTAGACCACATTATTGCCCGCGTCGATGTACAGGATGCTGATTGGAGTCAATTTGGTGGGAACGCAGCAGCTGGGTGGGGTGGAGCCCGGGTCCATGGAGTTCATCAGCGTCTGGATGATGGCGTGGTTGGTGGGCTCCAGGTGCGACCGCAGTGGAAAGTCACACACGCCCTCGCAGTGATAGGCCTCGTACTCTAGGGGCGCGATAATCCAGTCGTCCCAGCCCAACTCCTTAAAATTCACGTGCAGAGGCTTTCTGCTGCAGCGCAGCCTTGACTTCTTGCCGTGTCGCTTGCCATGACGGCTGGCGAAGGCGGTGCGTCGCCGCCGGCGGCCGGGCGAGGGCAGCCAAGACCCGGCGTCTGGGGCGCCCGACGGCGCTGGCCATGACCCCTCGGCTCCCGCAGCCTCTGCAGAGCCTAGTTGCTCGTGCATCTCAGTGAACAGGTTCTTGCGCTGCGATCTGGTGAACACGACAAGCAGGGCGCGCTCCTGGGGCGGCCGCACCCTCCGACCGAAGCCCAGACTCCGCAGGTCCAGAGGCGGTGGCTGCTGGGGACCCCTCGCGCGCGCCCCAGTATCGCCGGCGTCCAGCTCACCCCAGGCTGCCCGCAACTCCAAGCACAGCTGCTTCCAGGGCTGAGAGTGCAGGCCCTGCCACACGTCGAAGACTTCCCAGCCCGCCTGGGTTGGCCCCTGAGGATCCAGGGTCCTGGCGTCCAGTAGCAATGGGGACAAACAGGGGAAAAGCTGCAAGTGCAGCGGTCGGGTCGGTGGCCCCCAGGGCGTTGGGGGCGCCTGGCGATAAAGCCTCAGCTCTGCGCCCACCAGCTCTTCTTTGTCTGAGAGCGTGGACACATCAAACAAATACTTCTGTCTCCGGAGAGGAGTGTGCGAGAGATCGTCTGCGAGATAAAAAATAATTACAGTCAGTTTCACTTACGGGGAGATCAGCCTGGTGCTCTTCGGCAATCCCCAAGAGGAAGTGGGAAGGAGGGGGTAGGCAGCCTGGGAGTCCAGTTCGGCCGCCCGCTCATGCCTGGACCATACATACACTGTGTGGTGAGGAACCACACCAGACTGGACCCCCTCCTCAGCTCTGCTGCTGTCTGAGACAGAAGTTTGTACTCTTATTGAGGCGGCCTCCCTGGGCTCCCTGTCAGCATGCTGTGTAACCACTAATATGCCCTTGTGGTCACAAGTCTGGGCTCCTCTAGCCCTTCTGTCCGGGAGTTTTCATCATTGACTTCTCAAACGTTCCCACTTCCAAGAGGTCATCCCAAACCACCTTGATTCAAAACAGCCTCTCTGAGCCACTATCACAGGTCCTTGACTTATTTATTATCTTTCTGGCACTAGTAACTATCTACAATTATCCAGTCTATATTTGTCACGTTGTCTGTCTTTCCCAGTCACCCGGACACCCTCCACCAACCTATAAAAGGATGAATGGCAAGCCCTTGCTTACCACAGACCCAGAACCCTGGGAGACATAGAACACACACAGGTCAATGGCTGTGAAACTTGTAGAAGCATGATTTTCAATTTGCCCTTTAAAGTATCTGTGTCAGAGTCTGTTTGTCTAATTGAATCGATATCCAAGAACAGGATCCGGGCATGAGGCTTTTGGGTGCTTATAATGAAACTCTTTCCTTCAGACTCCAAAGTGATTTATAGTTAACAGTCATTCTATAAACCCAATAGTCCAAGATCATATTGCTACCCCCACTACAGTGTCGCTGGCGTGTTTTAGGCCCAGCATGATGCAGATTGGGTGGAGAGTTGCTGTGTCATTTCTTTCTTTCTTTTCCAATCTTTTTCTTCCTTCCTTCCTTCCAACAAATAAAAGAAGATGCAGCTTTCAGAAGTGGAGACAGGCATGAGAAAACTAGCACTTTCATCTGTGAAGGTCTTTCTGTACTCGGGAAACAGACATTCCTGGAAAGAGACAGCCTTAGCCAGGGGAACCTAGACACTGGCAGGGACATGCCCCACTCCTTTCCCCACCACCCAATCGGATATTCTGTTTTTCAGTGAATCCCAAAGATTCATTTCTTGGTTACAAGTGAGAAAAATACATTTGTGAACCATACAGACTTGCAGACTTTAAAAATTCCAAGGCAATATTTTTAGGATGAATGCAATATTAGACCTCTTTTTCTGACACATTTGTGCATGCAGCCAACATCACTTCAACGTGCAAGGCAGAAAGCTAAGCAGATTTTCCTGGGCTGCCTTCCCATAAAATGTTTACAACCCAGCAAATACAAAAATCCCCAAAGCCCCCTGCTTTCCCCAGAAGCTAGTAAAGTTTGGGTCGATTTCAATAGTAAAAGTATGGCCAGGTCCATTCCGACCCTCACTGCCTGTCCAGATGTAGCCTGGGGACATATTGCCCACGGACACTGGCTCTGGAACCTCAGCCACACCCAGCCAGCACTCTGGGCTAACTGCTGGCTGGCTGCCTCTAAGGCGCATGTCTGTACCTGAGGTGGAGCTGTGGGAAGAGTTGGAGAGGCAAAAAGGGAAGACCTGCTGCAGGAAGTTGGTTTATGGAAGCCAAGACCTTCAAACCAGCCCAGGGGGAGTTCACCACACTTTCTTTTCCTTCATAGAAAGCTGTGGCTGGTGGTGGTGGTGCTTGGCCACTATCCATATCTGTGTATCTGTCACTTTAGGCTTCTCTCGATCCCTCTCTTCCCAGTTCAGGGTGGAACAGACAAACTAGCGAACACATGCTGTTCCAGCTAAAAGCCCTGAGGGTTGACACAGTTCTAACCTTGATTCCATTGCACAGTTCAACGGGGTAGGTAGATACTGGTCCCATTTCTATGGTGGGAAAACCAAGGTTTGGGGAAATTAATTGCCTAAATAAATGATGAGGTCGAGGGCACCACTTAGATGTGCCTAGATCCAACGCCTGAGCATTCAGCATCGAGTCCCATTGCGTCGGTACTGTAGGCCAAATATAGAATTCTAGAAGCAGCCAAGAGTAGGAAGGGGCTAAAGGAAGGGGATACGGACCAAACTGTAATTGTGGAGCTTGTCGGGAATAAAGTCTGGTCTCCTTTGGGAAATCATGTCCATCTCTATTTTCATGTGACTTACTTGGTTGTTGGTTAGAGAACATGGACATGTATAAAGTATAAGGAGCTATTTACCTATCTCTCCTGCAACGTAGAGATGCCATTCTTTTGTTTCCATTCTTTTGGTTTGGTTTGGTTTTTTGTTTGCTTGTTTTTTCGAGACAGGTTTCCTTGTGTAGCCCTGGCTGTCCTGGAACTCACTCTGTAGACCAGACTGGCCTTGAACTCACAGAAATCTGCCTGCCTCTGCTTTCCAATTGCTGGTGCCACCACCATCTGGCTCTTTTCTTTCCTTTTCTTTCTCTCTTTTTTAAAGGTAAGATAATAGTCTGCACATCTGAGTCAAAACTGAAACAAGCATCTGTAGAGAAAGACTCTTGTAGATTCTTCCACCTTAAGTTGTCTGGTGACCTATCTTGTAAAACTGTCCTGTACATACTATTATTCTAGAACTCTAGAAAGAATGCAAATATGGCCTCCAGTCTAAATCTGTTCCCTTTTCTTCCTGTACTTGTCTCCCTCATGATTGTACCTGAACACTTACAGCCACCCCAGTCAGCATGCCACAGCATCCCAGGTAAACATACACATGAATAGTGTGATCCTCTCAAGAAGACAGGCTACTAAAAAAGCTACCTGGGCCATCAAACTGGGCTAAAAACCAGAAATCTGTAGCCCAGGAACTTAGAGATCAGTCTAGGGCAATGGCCATTAGTAACACACACACACACACACACACACACACACCATACACACCAAATACTAAACAAACAAAAACAACCTAGAATCATAGGAACTTGCCACAGACAAAAAATTATTTCAGATTCCAGAGGCTTAGGAGGATATCTTTCTAGAAACATCCAAATGATGCTTATTCTGTTGGTTCATGTATTCAGTTTCAGAGGGCCACCAACACAGGTAGGGATTGGATTTCCCATCTTGTGGGGAGAAGAGTCACTGCAGTAGAGAAAGAACAAAGCACCCAGATGCAGAGCAAGATCCAAGATGCCACCCCTAGACCATGTCATAGTCTCTCTAGGCTCCTTCTAGTCCATAGAAACACTGATAATTTTTGATAATTTCATCTGCATGCCTTGCAGGTCTCTAGAGCCTCTAACTTCTAAGCACAGGACCCAAGAAGGTAGCTACTCTCTACAGATGCCCTCCAGACCACATTCCCCACATGTTTGAACCGGCTTTGGAGCCCTATGCAGCAAAGACATAGCCAAGAAGAGGCATACCATAGGTCTGGAATGTAGAGACTACCAAGTAGTAGTTACAGACTGCTCCAAACACTTTACCAGCTGGCCTGGCAAACTAAAGCCTGGCCCAGCTGCTGTGGGTCACCCGTGGCTAGGAAGCCAGTCCTGGCCCTTTGCACTGCCTTGTACAGACCTCATCCAAGTCTTATGTAAATATGAGTGATATCAGCAAATGACTCCCTCCCTTGCATAAATGTCCACTGTTGGCTTCTAAATCGATGGCATATTTTCATAAATCATCTCACAAGCATCCCGAAACTGCTTGCCTGCTTTAGGCTCTTTGAGTTGGAGAATGATCAGTAATTCATCAGGAAAGACTTCTCTTTGCATCAACTCAGTTTGGTTTACAGCACATCTCCCACCTCAGTCAACTGAGCTCTCTTGGGCATTGGACTCATAAGCCTTTCAAGGCATAACTGTGGGGATTTTCTGCACTTCCTTTTTCTCCGGAAGATGAGTAGTGAAGAAAGGAGGAAGGAAATGAGGAAGAGTCGTAACAGGCATGTCTGAAGAAAATCTTGAACTGGCAACAGTACAAATATGGGCAAAATAGAAATCCTGACAGTTCTGGTGTAAGGTGTCTTGGTTTTCATTTATTTAACTAAAAATGTCTCCTATCCAGTCCAGACTGGATTGGAGCTCTCCACCCTCCTACCTTCTTCTTGTTGTACTATGATGATGTCGTCCAGAGCTCTTAGTACAGAAGTTTTAAAAATCCAAATAGGAGGATGTTGATCGAAAGATGTCTCAGTCAGAATAAACATAAGTTAAGATGAGGATTTAATTAGAGAAGAAGGATCCAGAGCAATTATGGAGACAGACATTCTTCGGCAAGTGCACAAGGTTATGGTGGGCACAGTAAATGGCTGAAGGACTCTAGAGGCAAACACTAAAATGGAGAGGAAAAGATGTAGCCAGGGAGCCCACAGACAGCCTGAGCTTAGGATACAAGCCAGAATATTCCATCAGTATCCTGTAGTTATTCCTACTTAAGGGGTTGCCAGCCAGCTAGCCTGCATAGGATTTCTAAAAATCTGAAACTTACAAAGGGGGAAGGACCAGAACTGATTTCCCAAGACACCACTGGGATCTTGTACACTTGATATCCCTCTTGAGGATTCAGCTTGGATTTGTTTTTTCCCCAGAGTCCAGAACCAAGATTCTATATGGACTTCTAAAAGGATCAGCAGGCCCTTTATACACTGACTGGTGTCTCACCTCTACATTAACTGAGATTCTCTGAATAGACGCTGGTCAGACTCCAGCAACCTCCCCCATCTGCCTGGCCATGTCTCCTGTGTGTTGGAAAGCACAGAATCTGTAGCTAGCCTGCAGCTCAGAAAGCTCAGAATATGTGACCTTTCCCACTCACACACCCTAAGTAGGATCAGGCCATGGGTGCAAAGATAATCAATGGCCCATCTTTGCAAAGAACATTCCAGAACTCTGAAACTAAGCTTCCTTCCTGACCCTACCTTATTGTGGACCCAGAAGTACTTTGGGGTGTTAACTGGACACTGCCTTCGTGCCAGGCTCACAGAACTCAGAGCTTTGATG